GGTTTTCAGTGGCCAGTGTTTTTAGAAGTACATCGCCAGATCCTTCTTCCTAGTCTTAGTCTGGAAGCTCCACTGAAACCTGTACACCAAGGGTGACCCTGCTAGTATTTGAAATACCGATGCATAGCTTCCAGCATCACAGCAACACACAAGCCTCCATAGTACGACAAACTGATGGACAAGTGGTGGTAAAGTAAGCAGTGGATTCTGTATGGAGCTAAAAACACTAATGTGCTTATTGCAAGTGCTAATTTGCTTCTTAAGAGTATGTTCATTTTACGTCTACATATTTCGATTTGAGCACAAAAATATTGATGGGCAGTTATTGAAAAAAGATACTGTATCTTTAACCATACAAATCTGTTTTGAAATCGTTAAACTTTTTCTAACATTTTAAAATGTATTTTATTGGATATATTTTTGTGTGTCTATATTTGCCGTGTTTTCAATAATTCACTATTGTTGGATGTTTTTATTGAGAGGCATTTTTGATTGTGGGAGAGATTAACAACTATTGTAGTTACATGTTCCACGACCACTCACAAGGGTGATCCTGGGAAAGCCCTAGCTGGTAGTCATATCCTCACAGCTGGACACTGGGCTTTTACCTGTTCAGTCTCCTCTGGCAGAATCCAGGCTGCTCTGGCTGAAAAGGACATGTAGGAATGCGGGCTAGGGTATGGGAGCTGAGGCAGGTTCACCTATGAGTACTGAGGTATCTCGCATGAATTTCTTCTTTGGGGCTCAGGAGTATGGTGGGAGCAGATGCGGAGCAGGAGTGAGGTTGCCGCTATGGTTAATGATTGGCATGAAAATACTTCAATATTTTCATAACTAGTATGGCCGTACTGGTACATACTAGCTCAGTATCAGCCCACGTTGAAGATTTAAGTAGCTGAGTAACAAGGAATCTACAGCAGAAATGTGAAGTAATAGCTTTAAGTTTAGCATATTGTGAATAGGATAGAGACCGCTCATCATGTTGTCTTATGTTTGTGCTTATATCTGTGCTTACTCTCTACCTCCCAGGTTACATAGACTTCCTTATTAAAGTACACAGTACCTGGGGCGTATTAAGTGTTCAGTAATGCTTGCTATTGAGTGAAAATCATTAGTCTGAGTTAGAGTTCCTGAGGTATATGCTTTAAGATGTCACTTTCAGCTCTTAAAGATTCTAAGTGTGAAGAATATTTAATGATATGAATTACTTCTTTTTTCTTCTTCTAGTAGTAGAGAAAGTATAGACCAGGTCATTGGAGGCATTCTTTTCCTGAACTTTTCTTCCGCTGGTGACTCTAGGTCCCATTTTGAAACAAGCGTCAGGGAGTCTGTCTTTGAAAGAAAGAGCTCAATTTGTACTGTACATTTCTATTAGGAAGACTGAGATTCTGTATACTTTGACTTTTTTTTTTTTTTTTACCTTTTTGTTTGTTAAATTGTGGTTTAGGTGAAAATTTAAAGCACAAATTAGTTTCTCATTTAAAATTTATACAGAAATCGTTTTGTGACATTGCTTGCAATCCCCACAATGTGTCAGCACTAGTCCCGTTTGCCTTTATACCCCGGGTTCCCTGTGTCCGTTCCTCCGGGTTTCCTGTCCCTTCTTGTTCTTCTCGTCTTTGCTTCTGGGCATATGTTGCCTATTTGATCTCATATACTTGATTGAACTAAGAAGCACGTTTCTCACGTGTGTTAGTACTTGTTTTATAGTCCTGTCTAATCTTTGGCTGAAAGGTAGACTT